GAACATAACGCACTGATTCGTGCCTGCCACAAGCGATGCGCCGAGCGTACACTCCGAGTCCTAGAAAAGAATGGATCAGTTTTCATTAAATTGGGCCAGCATCTCAGCAGCATGGGCTACCTGCTTCCCATCGAATGGACCTCGACCTTCATCCCGCTCCAGGACAGATGCCCCGTCTCGTCAATTGAGTCAATTGGCGAGCTCTTCCGCAAGGACACAGGTCAGGATATGAATGAGTTATTCGCCTCTTTTGAATCGACACCCATCGGCGCTGCCTCCCTGGCACAGGTGCACATTGCTACGTTGAAGGAAACCGGACAGAAGGTCGCTGTTAAAGTTCAGCATCCCGCGCTTGACGAATGGGTGCCGTTGGACTTGGCTTTGACTCGATTCACTTTCTCCATGCTTAAGCGCTTCTTCCCTGAATATGACCTGGAATGGCTGTCCAAGGAAATGGATTTCTCGCTGCCGCAAGAGCTGGACTTCCGTATGGAAGCCCAGAATGCTACTCATGCCAGCGAGTACTTCAAGAAGCACTCCGATGCCCCATTGGTCATTCCCGAAGGTTCATAATGCTGCCAACCCTAACTTTGTATGCATAACTTGAAGCTAACTAGATCCCAGTGATGTGGTCCCAAAAACGTATCCTGGTCATGGAGTACATCGCAGGCCACCGTCCCGACGACCTGGAGTACCTTGACGCCAACAACATCGACCGCGACGAAGTCTCCGCCGCTCTCGCACACATTTTCAACGAGATGATCTTCGGCGACAACGCGCCACTCCACTGCGATCCCCACGGCGGCAACATCGCCATCCGCCCGAACCACACCCGCTCATACCCCAACTTCGACATCGTCCTCTACGACCACGGACTCTACCGCAATATCGACCGCGACCTCCGCCGCAACTACGCCAAGCTGTGGCTAGCCGTTATCGACGCGGATGTGCCGCGGATGCGCGAGTATGCCTTCAAGGTCGCCGGCGTCACGGACAAGCAGTTCCCGCTCTTTGCCAGTGCCATTACCGGTAGAGACTACAGCGTTCTCACCAAGGAGAGCGTCGTTTCTGCGCGGACGGCTAAAGAGAAAGATGATATCTCCGGTGCATTGGGTGAAGGCATGCTACAACAACTGGTTGTCTTGCTGGGCCAGGTTCCGCGGATTATTCTTCTCATCTTGAAGACCAATGATCTCAGTATGTATCTCACTTTTGGCGCTGAATTCTGTTGGGCGTTATGGACTAACTCCCTCCCAGCTCGCAGCCTAGACGAAAACCTACACACACGCCAGGGCCCAATGCGCTCTTTTCTTATCCTCGCGCGGTATGCCACACGCACTGTCTTTGAGGAGCAGTTAGAGATCATCAAGGAGTCTGGTGGTATCTTCCGCAACTTCTTCCGCTTCTTGTATGCCTACGCGAGCTACCTTCGTGTTGAGGTCAAATTGTCTGTTTACGAGACTCTCCTGTCCTTGAAGACTCGCTTCGGCCTCCGGAGCGGTTAGACAGTGTGGTGTACTTGTTGCCGATGGCTTGCGCTTAGGGCTTTTTCTTCGTTTGTTCTGTTTTTCCATTATATCCCTTGTTTTTGGTTGGTTCATTGGCACGGATTGTCTTGAGTGGTCTCTCTGTGCATCAGCGATGGCGTTCTATATTTCTTTTCGCATATGGCCTCTTCATCTCTTGACTGGATTGTTCTATGTTTCCGGGTGTCGTTCTGCTATGTTGAACGCAAGGATCCGGTGTGGTCTTTTGTATAAATAGATAGATTGTGGATAAATTAAAAATCATAGACTGCTTCTAATATTACTTCCGAGTCTAAATTTTACGAAGGATAACTGATCTGGTTTCGTTGTTTCATTGGAAACTATCAAGGCGCTGCTTTTCAGAAAATTGAGATGAGATATCGATCAAGGATCCCAGATACCGAGGCGCCATCGCAGAAAAAAAAGAAAAGAAAAACGTATCAGAACGTATGAAGAAAAAGGGAAATATGTACATCAAACAAATGGGGCAATTTGTTCGTTTTCATCTCATCCATCGTCATCTCTTGGCGCACATTTTCAGTGGCAACAAGTACAACGAATCCCAAAGTACCCGATCTTGTGGATTTTCTCCGACAAAAAAACGAGCATCCTCGATCAAATGATTGTGTATTAAGACAACCTCGGAATAAAATCGCAAAGTTCGTGTAACGAAACGACTGGGTTGCGTCATTCAAATGGAGAATCCATCCGATAAGCTCAACCCGTTAAAGCAAAGAGAAACGAATTTAAATGGAAGCAGCAGGGCTGCCGGCAGACTCGACCTTAACATCAGGAATGACACCGCCCGTCCCGGACAGATCTGTGGCACGGGTGTTGGGGTTTTTGGTGTAGTAGTTGGCAATGGCAGACTTGATAGCGTCCTCGGCAAGCATGGAGCAGTGCACTATTTTGTATGAATTAGCATCAGAGCCGACCAAAGTCATCATCCATCAAAAAAAGAAAGACATACGCTTGACAGGAGGCAGACACAACTCCTTCGCCACATCGGTATTCTTAACCCTTCCAGCCTCATCGAGGGTCATACCGCGCACGAGCTCGGTAAGATAACTGGACGAAGCGATAGCACTACCACAGCCGAAAGTCTTGAAGACAACGTCATCGATACGGCCGGACTCCTTGTTGACGCGGATCTGCAGCTTCATGACATCGCCACAGGCGGGTGCACCGACGAGACCGGTACCGACGTCCTGGTCACCCTTCTGCATGGAGCCGACATTTCGGGGGTTGTTGTAGTGATCAAGGACCTTCTCGTGGTATCCTCTGCGCTGCTGAGCTGGGGCGGGAGCAGCGCGGCGAATGGCGGGTTGAGCGGATTGCAGGCCAGTGAGGGGAGAAAGGGCACTGCGAGTGGCGATAGAGCCGACACGGGGAGTGACGGTGACTAGGCGCTTGAACATTGTGTGGATTTATTATGATGGGTATATTTGATGGAGGTATTTGTTTTCACAGGTGAGAGTTGAAGGCGAAAAAAAGATGGATCTGATAGGGAGAAAGTGATGAATTCATAAATAATCTGATCGAGCCTTAGATAAGCACGCTAGTCCTAATGGAGTAGTCTCTTTGGCCGGATCCGCCGGTCGTCGGACATGACAAAGATGACGTTCGGCTTTATCGCTTCCTCGGTCTACGATTGTGATTTTTAAATGATGCGCTAGATGGGAAAAGTTGGGGGATTATCTCTCTGTGCCAGTGAGAGTGCCTCCTGGTGATATCAGTTCCCAGAGGTGGCGACCTTTCTGCACCACTCAAGTTCTCCGCGGTGGACTCGCCCGGTCAACCTCTTGTTTTCCGCCTCTCCTTGAGCCAATTGTTGGGCGATGATATCAAATAGTGGAGTGAAGTGATAGGCGTAAATTCAACCCTGGCGATCAATTATCGATTCGATGTTCTATGTTGTATGTTCTTTGGCGATTCAAATACAATATACGTTTATCGAGCTATTACTACGTTCTTGCATCTGGACTGGACAGATCTTATTCCCGCGGAGTTACATTCGGAGACCAAGTCGGAGTATAGTTCCACTTCCTCGGCTTATTCTAATCGTTCCAATCGGGATATGCATACCCAAAGGAGAAAAGAAGTACCAGGCTAACCGTATGTATCCTTTTCGGCATTGCTCACTCATTAGCCAATTTACTAGTGTGATATAGTTTCAAAGTCTTCCTTCTTCCATCCTACAAGCATAACAGAACTATTTGGAGAACCCAAAAGGCATCTAGATGCAGCGCAATATCAATGATGAGTCGTTGTCATTCAATATATCAAACGACAAATCTCAAGTCCCAGACCCAATGCAAAGCTAACAACTAGATATGCAACTACAAAGCCTCTCGAACAGCAGACTTGTACTAAACCAGAAAAGCAAGTTAGCAATGAGCAGGAAAGAAACCAGCTAGCTCTCTTTCTGCGTAACGTACCGGAATAATCTGCGCGTTCTCCATATCCCACACACCAGAACTGACATAGATATCCTTGTTAAGCAGCTCAAGCACCTGAGCCTCATTCTCCGCAACAGCAAGCATCATGCTTCCCTTGAAGGAGGGGGTCTCGCCATCAGCGGGGTGGGCATTGAGCATTGCGCCTGGATAAGAAACACTCAATGTTAGTATATGTACATATGTTTGCGAGCTTTCCATGACGCGATCTAGATAAAAGAACACGAAAATAAAGAGAGTCACATACCACCGGCAACAATAGCACCAGACGCAACGAGCGGCTTAACACCCTCGAGGTGCTTACTGAAGACATAATTAGCAAGACTCATCCTCCCACGACACACATCCCATGCTGGAATCCAGATGCTGGGGAAAGACTCACGGGCGAACCTCGAGACGCTTCGCCTGCGCGCCAGGCTTATCGGGCAGGATGCAGAGGAACTCTCTCTTGGCAGGGGCGGAAGACATATTGCGGGATTGGAAGGTTAGGATTGATTTTCTGGGTATTTTTTGAGATATTTTAATCGAGGCTGAGGGGCAGGAGGAGAATAAATGTGATGGCGGGACGCGGAGGAGCGGTATCCGCGCGTGGGGGAAAGCGGGGGCTTTGCTTTGAAAGACACGGGTGACACGAAGTGACATGGTAAAGGGAATGGAATGGAATGTATTGGATTGTCGATTGGCGGTTTCTGTACGAAGTCTGCAACTACATGGATGTATGTATTTTATATACCGGGTTTTCCCTAGGGGTTTCCTATTTGAGCCGCTTTTTCAGCACGGGCGTGATGAGTCACGTGCATATTTATATTTGGCCCAATTTGGGTTACTTTGCTGAGGGATGAAGAGAGAATGATGTTTTGGTTTTTACTAGGTAGAAAGGAGGTCGAAGGAGTGAAGATTTGGTGCTCGGTGATACAGCTCTACCTATAACGAAGGACGCGAAACACAGTCCAAAAGTGATGTCACACAGAAAAAAAAAGTATAAGCAAGAAGATGACTGTGGTCAGCCCTTCTGTTGCTAGTTCTTCCCCAGCGAGACCCGCAAAGCTGGAATCTCAACACTGACGGCTTGACCACTCGGATCCAGAGAAAAGATGAACTCATCCAGGCCACGGCCTCCATATTGAAGCTTATCGAGATTTAGCCAGGACACACAAGTTGGAGTGTCATTATCCGCCAGCTCAGTTATATCCTGAAAGACAGCTCTAAAAGCCTGCCTGGAGCCCGAGCCAGAATCTTCAACCAGCTGTGTAGGATACAACCGAATACTCAGATCCGCCTGCTTCTCGACGCCCACAATTCCAGCGAGTGTGGCACGGAAGTCAGTGCCATTACTGACAAACTCCTGGATATACAAACCAGGCAAGCTGTCGTATCCAACAGAAATAGATGAATTGATATTGGAAGCCTTGTATGCGCCACCGAAATTCTCGGCAGCCTGCTCAATAGCCGTTTTCATCAACGCTTCTAGCACGACATCACCGATTATATCCGCGTGCGCGTTAAGATCAGCCGGGGCTTCTGTATCAGCCGCGAGAATGGCAAAGCCGACGCCGAAGTCAGGGACTAGGCCGAGGTATGAGCTGTAGAGGCTCTCGTTATTGCCTTCGTTGCTGAGAACTGTGTAGATATCCACCATGGATGTGTTGGGGTATGAGCCGGCGCTGTATATGACCCATGGAGATCCGATGGAGTTGGCTGGGTTGGAGGTGTGAGAGACTGGTTTGAACCAGCGATTTGTTTGGGGTTTGCTGAGGAGGGTTGAGTTTAGGATTGCCTGGCCGGCTATTGCGAGATCTTTGATACTAGAGAAAAGAGACTTTGATCTGGAATTGAGGCAGTGTTAATTGGTGGCTGGGATGTGTGGAGAGAATATGGTCTTACGCTTCGTCTCTTTTGTGGTGTGTTAACCAACCACTGGCTTCTTTGCTAACGGGAATAATTCCTGCAGTGGTTTTGTCTGGCGCAAAGATTGAGGTCTCGGTCATGCCTAGGACGTCAAAGATGTCGTGTTGAAGGACTTTGCTGAATGGCTTTCCTGTGCGCTTTTCTACTATGTAGCCTAAAAGCTGGAATGCCATGTTGGAATAGCTAGGGGTTCCCCCCGCTGGAGCCACGCGAGTTTGGTTAGCGAGGTATCGAATAAAATCTATGGAGAGATTAGCATATAGAGATAGTAAGCACGGATTTGAATTTCATACCGTTGCTATCACACTTGGAACCATCATCACAGCAAGGCATGAGGATAGCCTGGTGTGAAGGTAATCCCGCCTCAGAAGAACTTATTTGTAAAGTCACATCCTTCGAGCAATCTGTTCATGAATTAGTTCTGATCACCAACCATATTCTTGTTCAGTGTTCTACTTACAGTCTCTCCCAATTCCAGACATATGACTCGAAAGTTGACCAACAGTAACATCATTCCACCTTACCTTTTCAATCATATCTTGTTCCCTTGTATTATCACCCAGCTCAGGGAGGTACTTGGTAACAGGATCATCAAAGATCTGGTCTCCATCTCCCGTGAGAAGCAGACTCCACACAGTGAAGACCTCAGTGAGACCACCAATGCCATAAATGCTGTCTGTGTCCGCAGCATAAGATCCTACTGCAGACTTGTTCAATGTAGGGGCTGTGTGATGATATTGCCAGAAGAAGGGCTCGTTTTCGGCATCCCCACTGTCCGACGAGAACAAGGCGATGCTGAAAGTGGTGTTTGGCGAGACATCCCCATGAGTACCAGTGTCTGTTGCGACTAGTGTGTCGAACTTCTTAGTAAGTTCTTTCAGAGCGCTTGCAATGGTCTTGTCATCTCCGTTGAGGGAGAATGGAGGGAATGCAGGGCCGAGGAGTGGACATGGGGTGAAAGAGAGGGCCGAAGAGAAGAGCAAGAAGAATGCCGAAGCGTGAAGAATTGAGAGCATCCTGGAAGAATGGAAATTGATTTGGATTTAGATTCTTGCTGTCTCCGTATCTCTCTTTTATATCCAACATCGTCGGGTCGGTGATACTGAAGGTCTTGGCGGTTTGTATACATCGGCTCGGCGATACGAAGGAGCATTTGATCGCAATTTCGAAATTCCAACTCCTAGCACTGCTGCCTATTCAATTGATTATCTCACGTTGGGGTTCTTTTTCACGTCTTCTTCAGGATTCAGTTTTGCAATGATACGAACAGTTGAAAGATGTTGACAAAAGAGATCTATAAGGAAGTATCATAAAATGAAATATTGAATCGACAATCACACCCATTCACCCATAATCTGCTCAAACGAAGATGCGAAGAAAGAATCCTGGGGAATTTGCAAGTCATCTGCCGAAGATGAAAACTCATTCCCAAAAGGGACATCGAGATGCTCCGCAGCCCCAATAAGCCCGTCAAAGTTTGTCGGCTCCAAGCATAACGTATACCGATATTCATCAAAGCTCTCATCACTTTGAGAGTTGTCTTCCTGTCTACCATGTTCCCCGAGCCAGTTCTCAATTCGAGCTATACGGTTTCCAAAGTCGAAGAAAGCATCCCGAGCGCCGTTCATGTCTACATCTGAAGTAGACAACGCCCCAACCCTCGATCGCAACTTCGACAGAGTTTCTAGGAAGGCAGCAGCCTGATCTGGTTTGTAGGCTGCTACGGTGTGCCGATAGGCAACTAGCAATGCAAACGCTATCTGTACCCATTGCGTATTGTTGAATCCGACTTCGTCGTTGGATGGAAGTTGAATATACAGGTTGAGGATCGAATTGGCTGAGATAAATGCCGAGAACGCCATTTCATCTCTCCAGGAGTTGGAGTCAAATGGTGATTGAGACTCTTGGTTGGTGATGTTGAGAGCTAGTTGATATAGGCAAAGCCCTGTCGCGTGGTATTGTATAGCAAGAAGAACTTTATTCAGAGCTCAAGTTAGCTTCAACTCTTTCTTTTAAAATGAGCATGGTGTTCTGTTGAGACTTACAGCTCTCGTTGATATCGAAGGGCAGATGCCGGTAGAACGCTTCCAGATCCGACTTCAGATTGGCGATATAGAGCTCTGACCCTGATCCAGGTGTTTCCAAGTCAATTCCATGCTTTGCAGATAGATTGTCGACTTTCTCTGCAATAAATTGGAGCTGTATCACATAGCTGATGTATTTGTCGTGAGGATACTCGTTGGCTTCATGGAGAGCCTTGCAACACTCTTCCTGGTACGGGAGACGCAGAATGGTAGATTTCTTTTGCACAAGCATCGCAATCCTAAAGGTAAATCACTATCAACCAATGTCCAATAAGGTCCAAATGCACAGGAACTCACGATGACGACAAATAGTAACAACCCAAGACAGCCCTCTGCTCGTTGCTCCCCCAAGAAGCTCGATTAAACGTCTGATTCTGCAGATTATATTGAAGCCCAAAGCGCAGCTCTGTCTTCCACGTCCGCGTCTGTGGTGGACGATCCAACCGCAAATCTATCATGAGGCCTATGGCCAGTTGAAGGAATTGAGTATAACGGTGTGGCCGTGAGTGATAATGCGACCTGCCATATGTTGTCAGATGCAATTATGATATCAAAGTATTGATAGGTTGGGATTTACCATGCGAGAAACACCAACAGCCCTTGCAACAACTCAAAGGAGATTTCCCCACCGATGACCATGCGTGATGCAACGACTTTCTTAACTTCGTTCCCCAACGCGCGTTGCAGTGGCATGTTCTCATACGAAGCAGATGCAAGGATCGCTAAGCATAGGAACGGCTTCTCCTTGCGGAGCTGCTGGACAGATACATCGAGGGACACAACCACAAATGGGAAATGTGGGGTCAGTTTGGTCTTAAATATCGTTAGATATCTTTCGGCCGTCTCTGTGTCAAGAAAGTCTCGGCTGATGATGTCTTCAAGCGGAGCATCACCGTCAATTGATGATGTGCTGCGCGTGCTTGTGTTGGTGTCATTTCCTTCTAGACCGCCCCGATCGGCCTTGAGTTCATTGATCTTCAACTCCAGAGCCGCGATCTTACTGAGTTATGTGTTAAATCATAAACGATATTATCATGACGGAAAGTCTGCCCACCGGTCCTTGTGGAAGCCCTTAAATCGACGACCAGTCCGACGATATTGACATTCTTTTCCCAAACGAAGGCATCTGTGTTGTTTAGATAAGCCCCAGTTTTCTTCCACGGAGTTCTGAGGGAGGTTGTTCTGATTCCTACCGATTACATGCGATATCGGTATCCCGGACACATCGCACCTTTGAATCCGCGCAACCCTGGCACGTCTTGGATACGGGAGGCATCGTGTTGCTTCATCCGAGCGAAACTGGGGCCTATTATAGTGGCGATCCTGCAGATCCCATGCTGGAGTAACAAAGCTTGGCTCTAATGATGCATCTCCGTCGAGGTAAGAAAAGATAAAGGCAGTACTAGGCGGATGGGAGGCGCCTTCAAACAAAGTGGGTTAGTAGTGATTATTTCCTTTCATCTTTTGAGATTATTTCAATCTTTGCTCGAGATAGGCAGCATATATCTGTTGGGGGGTTGAATGATTACGTTACCTCTTAGCTTCACCGTTAGGCACTTGTACGTTTTAGCCCCATATCTTGAAGGGTCGGTTTTCAGCTAAGTTGTTTTGCATAAAGGATTATCCAAGCCCTTAATATACCTATCTATGTAAGTAGATGCGGCAGGATTAAAAAGGGTACCCAAAGGTTCCAAGCTTGGCCCAATAGTTGAGACCTCAGGTCCCCTGAGAAATTACATCGTGCGTTTGACCCCTCCTATTATTTATAAATGCTTTGAATCATGCTGACCTCAGCCTTACATCCCTTCAAAAAAGGAATTATACCAAATAGCCGATAATACCCGTTCAGCGTATAGCTGGTCACCAACCCGTTAAGATGCATGCTGCTACCAGAGCCACGTGAAGCTTTTCTACAGTGTTAGTAGTGTATGGTCTTTAGGGTCGAACGTGATTTTAAAAGAGCGGTCTAGCGATCCACCCAGCTTTGAAGTCCTTAATATCGGGTCTTTAGCATCAACCTCAATATCTATACCCCAAATGGTCGAAGAATGGTAGCAAGATGGCGGAGCATGTTTTCTTCTTACCAAACGCATTCAAGGCCAAGCATTGAATAGACTCTAGCCAAGATGCCATTGCCATCGACCCATAAAGAACTCGTTGAATATTTGAGGCAGCTTCACGAGCTTCACTTAGACCGAATAGAAAGTGTCGGCGGGCAAGCACTCTACTCAGCCTTTCTTTTCCAAATGGCTGTACTTTTCACCAGACGATAAACTATGGCCTGAGGATATCGTTAGCCCTCACCGAAGTTCTAAAGCAAATTCTTTGATTGCGTCAGCGAATACCAACTACAGCCCATATCATTGTCGAGAGTGGTAACCAATTAGAGAGTATAGACTAGGAATCTTCGGGCTTTTTCCTGGTTGGTAAGTTTATAGCTTGCGATTTTGGGATTGATTTCTTTACATTGGCCAAGTATCTAGAGTTGAATGAGAGAGGACTTGAATTTCTAAATGAATGTTGCCAGAAAAAGAAAAATAAGCTTCGACTAGCCTAACAGCCCATCGGTTTGCGCCGAGATCTGATATTCCGCTGTCGAGGTCTGTGCTAGGAAATCTTCAATTAAACTACTTGCGGTAATACGCCTCGTGATATTTGCAGGGAATGAAATCGTGCGATTTATTATATACATGAAACTCAGCAGATAGGGCAGTGCAGCGCGGATATCTGCCTTGCTTCATCCGCAAGAAATCTAGACTCATCACACAGCATCTGGATTTCAACTGAGTTGGTCTGATATCCTGCCCCTCATCTCAAAAAAACACAGTCAAGGACGCCAGCTCAGCATATGACAAAACGAAAAAAAGATGAAATAGAAAGGGCAATTTGGAGGTGACCTGCATAGCAGAATCAGAATCAAATAGACTTGGAAACAAGAAAGCGACACATGACAGTAGACAGTCCGGTTCTCGGTCCCTAATGTAGGTTTTGCGTAAGAAGAACAGATGATCGAGATTGAATCACTCGAGTGTACATGCCCGGATATACACACATCCCCATAACTCGGGATGCGTGTGTCCCAAGAGACACAAATTCGGTATGTCAAGGAAAGAGGCCTGGAGAACGAACTTTATAGACCTGCGAACCCGCCAAACAACATTTTCCCCCGTAGCGCCAAGGTAACAAATACACACACTCCCTAGAACGCGGCACGAAGATACTGTATTAGGGAAGTCATTAGGCTTTCCGTCGCGAAACATCCATCCAAAAAGAGGAAGAAAAAGGGAAATAAAATAGGTCAGAAGGAAAGGAAGTGAAACACGCCGTGGCCAAAAGCTTTCCCCGATGGTAATCACCGGGAAGACAACACACGGGCAATGGATAATGGTGGATGTTCGACGACGGGGTGGGATCAAAGATCAACTTGATCCTAAGCGAGATTTCCGGCGGACGGAATGCAGGTAGAAACTAGAACGCTTTGCGGTCTCCAAGGTTACCGGGCTTCTCGTCGGTATCAATGTGCCAGACCACGTAGTTGGGCAGTCCAACCACCTGGTAGCCAGCTCGCTTGGCCATGCGGGCGAAACCTTCGGTCTCGGCTTGGTTCTCGAAAGCGTATGCGGGGAAGTTAACGCCGGAGCGGTGCACATCGGCTTTGACGAGGATGTTGACACCGCCAATTCCGTCAAGCTCCACCTCATCATCCTTGTTGTTTCGCCAGTCGCCCATGCCCACCAAGTAGGTGCGGCCAGTGTCGTACTCTTTGTAGCCTTCGGCCAAAATAGTGTCGGTAGGCAGACTCGCGCGCAGACGACGGCCCTTGTCGGATTCGATCCATGAGTTGTAGTCAACTAGGAATGAAGATGTCAGCAATCTGCACAGCACAGAGCGTCACGAATATACATACAGCGACCCTCGATATCATGACCATCCTGGTTGTAGCGGTGGAACCAAATGTCTAAGAGAAAAATCACTGTCAGCCAGCTGTCCAACCTCCGATCCAAATTCACCAAAATCACATACTTGGCACGAGAATGTCCTTATCGTGAGCCATGAAATCCTCCAGGATACGCTCGGGACAGTCGGTAATGTCCACATCACGCCAGTAGACCCAGGAGTGATCGGCCTTCAAAGCAGAGTAGAGCAGGTAATTCCGGGCACGGGCGATAGCCTTGCGTCGGGGACCCTGTGCGGCGAACGAGTGACGCTCTGCCACAGTCATCTCTACATCGGCACCGAAATCCTTCTGAATAACGGTTGCGCTGCGGAAACGAACTTTCTCCTCGGCGTGGTTCTGGATGCGGTCGAGTTCGGAGGCAAGGTTTGCGAGGGTGTCGTCTTTGCAGTCACCAACAAGGAAGGCCAAATCGATCAACTCGTGTGGGTAAGACAGTTTGTAAAGGAGGTCGAAGTATTTGGCCAGGTAAGGGGCGGCATCACGAAGAGGGGTCAGGATGAGTACACGTTCACGGTTGAGAGCGGCCTTGGAGGTAGACTTGATGGGGTTCAGGTCGAGATCGGTGATGGAGGTGGAGTTGACTTCGTAGGGTTCGTGGCGGTTGAAGAGGACGGGGGTCTGGGCGTGCGCACTCCATTCGACCATCTCATTAATGGACATCTCCATGGGTGACTTGCTGGAACCATAGCAGTAGAAGCTGTCGGCGCCAGTCGGGTCAGTATGAATAGTTTCCGGATGGGTGATGGATGATGGATGATGGATGATGGGTTGCATGTTCTCTCACCTTTGCATCTCTGATGCAGACCTGCTGACACCGCGCCACATGAGGATCAACAGACCGGTCAAGGCTATGGAGACCAAGAAGCGCGTCCGTGTTAATAAAACGATGATTGCCCTCCATGGGGGCAATCTGGCCTTGGCCGACTTCCAATTAACACCGCCCTTTGGCAACAACATGATGAGAGATAACGAGGTATGAGGTTGTGTAGAAATTCAGGGGCGATCCCGTCTCGAACACTCGTCGTAAAACCCCCCGAACGAATGTGGAGAAGAGAGGAGGAGAGGAATGGTGAGGCGAATGGTTGATAGGGAGAAAACAGAATCGGGAATCGGGGGAAATGCGATTGCCTGCCAAGAACGGCTGAGATCAGTAAGACAACCACTACATTTCTTTCTACATATTCTATAAGATCTACTCCGTAGTTAAGAGCATAATTATAAGTATCTATATAGTTATTAGATCTATTTTACTGTTCTACTATTCTACTACTCTACTTAATCAAATAAGCATACCAAGTTATTCCTTTGGATCCCCTCAACACACTTGACAGCTGAGACAGACCCTTTTATTTTTTTTTTATTAATAGCTTTGATCATCTAGAACTCTGTGCACTTTAGGGGTTATTGAATCCTACGACATGGGGGATATCACAGTCTCATCCTATTCTGTTGCCACGCAGGTCCAGGGTACAATGTGCTGTACATCGTATTCCGTACTCTGTCCCCCCTATTTTGTAGGCACTTTTTTTTCTGCAGGGATTGCGTGTACACATTTAACCCTACTTTTACTATCGAATTTCTTAAATTTGAATCTTTTTGTTATTTCTAATACGGAAAATGGTAATGCTATTTTTCTTTTCTTTTTTTCCCCCTAAAATTCTAATCATTTCAAATTAATTACCACAAAGTACAACATACAAAAAGAAAACAACCGGAAATGACAAGTGGGATCTTCAGCACGAGGTTAAAGTGAGACACGGCCTGGGCCCAACCCATATTTTATACCACAACATATACGGAGTATGTTGTACGGAGTAGGCACCTCTATATTTCTAGATTTTAAGCAGCCAGTATAATTTTGAATTGTTCTTCTCATTTTAAAAAAAAAAGCAATTCAATCTCCCATCTCTCAAAATCCAAAACGCCTCCCAGAACACTTGTCCATTTCAAGTCTGCACTGGTCTCCACCGGCTGATGCCTAAGACAGCTCTCCAATGATCGACAGCTGATTCGTCCCCGAGAAGAAGAAATCTTCACAGGTGTCAGTTGGAACATTATTTGCATTCTTATGTCGTAGGCCCAGTATTCAAGGAATGTGTCGTAAATGACTGTATGTTTATACTATGTACTGAAAAGGGGCAAAGTAGCCACATAAATACTTGGTCAACCTAAACAACGAGCTACGTCGCATTCTACATAGACCGAGGAATTATATTACATCTACAGTTTCCAGAATATGAACCTGGAATCCATCACTTGCTGCATGGCTGTATTATAGTTGACTGAATACATCGGAGATCACTTCTCGAATCAAAGTCGCGCTAGCTCTAGGAAAGCATAGCAATATAGCCAGTACATCATACAAGAGATAGGATTGGCATACGCGTCATTGACATATCACGATTACATGAGAAATAGCAGGAGAGACACAAATCGTGCCCAATGTACTTCGGCTCACTCCAAGGCTAATAGGAGGGCTTCATATGGCGACGCTCAACGCGTGTTACAGTCTAGTAGCACAACTACCATAATCTTACAGAAGAACATGATTTTCATCGAAGATGATCCATTGAGTCATAGTTATAGACATAGAAAAAGAGAAGAAAGTGACAAAAGAAATAAAGAAATAAAGAAATGAACAAAAGCCAAAATATCCGCCCGAACATATATCCATATAAAAAACAACGCCAAAGGACAAGAGACAAAAAGAAGAAAAATGAGAAAAAACCACCGTTTTGTCCAAGAGAAGAAAAAAAAACAAAAGGAAACCCCGAGGTAAGGAAATCAGTCAACAAAGGAAAAGCATTCAAGCAAATTGGGAACCTCTTGTTCATCCCCGAGATCAAAGAAAATATTGTTACACAATGCAGGCGCTAAATGCACATGGAGCGGGAAGACAACGGAAGGACTAAGCCTAACGGACCCGAGAGTAAGGGAGAGCAGCAGCTGCTGCAAGGGTCTCATGTGCGAATGAGGATGCGGCACAGAGAGAGAAAGGTAGAGAAGGAATCATGATATCATCAGTGAACAGGGACAGTGTTCAATATCGGGCGTGCATCATCAATCTTCACTGCGGATTTATGGAGACGCAATGAGAGAGTGGCGACGTGATGGCGCGGGGAATGAGAAAGACGAAGACTGAGAAGGAGGGAAGGCAGGAGAAGAAGGACCAGTCATAGGCGGGGTGGCAGTGAGATAGGAGCTGCCAAAGGACTGCGAGGTCGAGCTAGGCATGGAGTCATAGTAGGGGGCGGCGTAGGAAGGCTCGGAGGGCATGCTGGCAGCGATCTCGTCGCAGAGCACGCGCATGCCAGGCAGGCCGTTCTTCTTCTGGCGTTTGTGTTCGGGGAACTCGAGGACGGGGCCGGGGGAGGTACTCTCGGACTTGGGGGAGCGGAACATCTGCTCGTAGGACTTGAGCTGGAACTCAAGGGCGCGGTTACGGTCAGCGAGGATCTCGTTCTCGGCCTTGGTGGCCTTGAGCTGTTGCTGGGCCGTCTGGTTTTGTTGCTGTAGGGAGCTGACTAGTTGCTGCAGCTGCATGCAGCGGACCTGGGGCTGCAGCTTCTCCGAGAGCTGCGGTGTGACCTGTTCCTGGCGGATAAGGTGGACGATAATGGCAAGCATGAAGTCGACTAGGTAGATGGCTCCTTGCACGATGTGCTCCTTAGATTGAGTAAGGCTCTTGGAAGGATTCCAGCCTGCACGCTCAAGGAAGAAATCGTGAATGCGGCTATCCAACTGGCGGTGCAGCTCGCTGAGATTGCTGCGGCGGTTGCCCTCGGCGATGCGGTGCTTCTCGCGCTGGTCATCTTCAGTGGATTGGGCACTGCCCTTGCGCTTACGGCCACAAAGCTGCTGTAGAGGAGCCTTGCGGTTGAGGTTCTGTGGGGCCACCAAAGCCATGATCTCGCTCTGGGAGAGATCATTGGGCCAATCGACCGAGGTGGACTTTTGCATAGCAAATGACTCTTGCCAAGAGCTCTCGGCGGAGTTGGCCGGTGAGGGAGGTGTGACGATGTGCTCAGCAGCTGCCCAAGGCGACTTGAATTGGAAAGTGTCCTGGGGCCCTGGGGTGGTAGGAACAAGAGCATCCTTCACGTTGAAGGGACTAAAAGGACCACGGGGTGGCAGAGGCAAAATCTGAGGAAGAGGAGGCAGTCGGCGCTCCTCACCCACATCAGAGGTGGCCATACTGGTGCTAGATTTGAAAGAACTTGAAAATAGGTTAGGATATGAGAGCTGATACCGAGACAGTGAGATAACTCACGGCAGAGAGCAGCGGCGAGGGATATCTTCAGTAATAGAACCCATTTCTTCATACATCGTAGTTGGTCGTCGAGAAATGCGTGATATGTGCAGTGACGAGAGTGTCGAAGTGGTTCAAAGTATGCGGACGAGATATATACTGAAAGATCACGGGTGATTCGTGTTCTTGTGTAGAGTCGGGTCGATGAGGTCGTAGATTGAATGGCGAGAGTGCAGATAAAACAAAGTTGTATATGCACAGCAATGGAGAAAGGGGGACAGGGCTATAGACAGAATAAAGAAGAAGCAAGATCAGAAGCTACACGAGGCGGGTGTATACAATGAGACAATGGATAGAAAGGGATACCATGCGGGCTGGGAAGCATGTTTATATGTAGATTGGGGTAGTACTTTGTTCCCCATTCCCAGATCTTAGGGCCTCTCCAGACCCAGGCGAGGGGAACCGTGAACCAAGGCCGATCCTCGACAGACATGAAGCGCGGAATTTCGGATGTCATACAGACAGAAGTTGCATTTCTTTGCCCCACAGCTTCATCACGACGGGGAAGCAAGATGAGCATCCCGGGTGGGTGCTCTGGGCCACTTGCTAGTGCCCGCTTGGGCCGGGAGGAAGCGCCAGAGAAGAAAATAATTATATTCGGTATCACAGAGGTATCTGTCACATCATGCACAGACCGAACCTCACATACTAATCTATTAGATCCACGAATGAGGGGAAGACGATGGAGCCCGAGAGAAAGGTTCATGATGATCCAGGACCCCTAATTTGTCACCGAACTGTTGGGTGTTGCGATCGACACGGGGAAGATTTTATTCTTTTTTTTAAAAGATAAAATAGAGGCATTATGGCCCTTGCATCAATAGTTATCCCAATTAATGACGTTGGATGTTCCCTATCAAAACCTCCGGAGAACGCATACGGATGTAAATTGTTGGTGCTAATGAAGTCTCGAGATAGAAAAAAAGTAATTTGAAAAACAGTGAACAATTAAAACTAAGGTTTACTTGCGCATACTCCACAGTCATCTACGTGAATGCGCGGCCATGTCCGTATTCGCCATCAGATCCCCGCTGATATCTCGATAGATGATGAAACGCTTAATGTAACACAATCTTAACATGCATCTTGATATCCTGCATCGATAGTCAGGAGAAACTTCTATGATCGTGCTACAGTATCAAGGGGTTACCCATTATCAACGAGCCAATACCCCTCGAGGCGCTTCTAGCAAATTTAAATTGCCCCTCAGATAAATGGAATTAAGCAAGGACTGCGGGAGTGTCATCGGTGATACATGCGAGGAGTTAGGCATCAACAAGAATAAGGATCATAGCTCTATATAATGGAGTTGGGAATAATTGGGTCTACAAGCAGGAAGCTATAAGCGCCATTGACGGTTTCAGCGTTAGGATTAACAAAAATCAATCAATCAGTATCGTCAGGTAAGCGAATCCCCAGAATAGGTCCGAAACGACATGATCGAGGAAACCAGCGAGTTGGGACGGACGAGACCCAAAGACCAGGTTACCTTTGCTGTCAGACAGCCAATCATTGGAATTAAGAGGATTTGGAATTGTTTGACACACAGACGTTAGAGAAATGACAAGTCAGATTAAATAATATCTAGTTCGTAATGTGTTAAGTTAAGTTTATTGATTTATTTCTGGTGAAGCCCTAAAAAAAACCCTAAATAGATGGACACGTTCCCCCCAAGTGGAGAGAGCCCTACGTTCAGTCATCATATTATCATATTATCATCTTAATTTCCTTTTTTATTTTATTTTTTTATTTGAATCTTTAATCTCCAAAATATCAAATAACCTACACCATACATTTAATCTAATACTCATCCCTGAATCTTTGTCGCCTGTCTTCGCTACAAGATCCAATGGTGGGTTGTGAAAATAGAGCTGTCATATTCTCCCCTTCCCGTCTCACCCTACAGTCAATCAGCTTGCCTCATGGCGTCTCCATCCAGCACACTAGTCCCCACGTTCTGGCCGTTCATGTTCACAATCCCTATTATTCTGTTATTTTATCATTTAACGACCGTGATAAAAATCCACAATTATCGACTTGCAATTCTATGCTGTATGCATTCTACTCCATACATTAGGCAAACTCCACACCGGGAGAGATAATCTCACCTGAATGTCGTATCTTCCGTGCTTTGCAGACTTCAATCTGAAACCCAGTTCCCCTAGTTCACGTATGTTGTAGTTCCCTGTTCCCTGTTCCCTGTTCCCTGTTTACAACATATGCACCCAATCGGTGGCTCACACTAAGTTTCGCACGCCTCCCATATGCAGACGGCACGTACCAACAACTAAATCGAGGGGAAAACTCTCACACGAACCATTCAAGTTCGGTCAAACTCTCTAAATTATTTTTTCCGAGAGTTCCCCGGACCAATCTGGGCCCCAGGGATCTTCCCGCTTGTCCTTTTTGTTCCCTCCCTTACTATTTTAAGTGACGTGCATTTATGATCCCCTCTTCAGATCTGCTCAATACCAAATCGAAATATTTGAGTTTCGCGGATCAAAAAATAGACTTTGATCCATATCTCTGGGGCCGATTTTGAGACTTTTGTTTCATCATGGGCCCTATCCGCATGGGTGTGCGTGTTATCGCGGATGTAGACATCTGCGCCGTAGGTTACGAGGTCGATCGTACCTCGCATAAGATGAACGCCTTCCTCTACGTATTCTCAGGGTGGCTGTAGAGGATCCGATTATTATAGTTTTGTAGCCCCTCTTTCGATATTACACAGCGTTCGCTACAAGCTCGGACATGATCCCCGTCCCGTGCGGCTCTCATGTGTAAGGAACAAGCCACACTACACAAATTTAGCACCCATTTTCCAAGGTCCTCTTTGCCTCCACGCTGTCAGCGTAAAGCTTACCGTACCCCCGGCGCCAATGAGCACCTCCGATGCCCTCTTCCTACTAAATCATTCCCAATAGTCGCCTTCTCGTACCGCCTCTTGACCTGTCAAGTTTCAACTGTCAATGACATGGCGGGGACAGTATAATTAGTTGAAATCTTATTTTCATACTATAGATTAATGTATGGAATAGATGTAAGTCACTTGACTATTTGATGATTTGAGATGTTTCAATTCAACTGAAATAATCGTCGGGGCTAAATCCTCGCCAAGCGCTTAAAAGCGCCTCATGCACGATATAGGGCCCTCTTCCCTGTTTATACTTGCTAAAAACGGAGTAGCATGGCGACTAGGATTAGGGAATTTGTTACAACCCCCTGTGAAATGATTGTACCCACCCGCATCTTTAGTCCATGGTACGTGATACGATCGGTTTCCTCAAGTGCGATATTGACCTCTCTGCTTTTTTTAATATAAATTTCAATTGTGACTGTCATCTTCCCTGTTTCCACTTTAAATAGCCCCTCTCAAAGATTGTACATACAGTGAACTACTGTGCGTGTTGTCTCTCCACTCGGACGCCTATAATTTACCCCCTCGTTCTATTGAGTGGCAAGCATGAAAATGCAGGCTCGTGTCAGATTGATCCCAAGACGGAAGGGGCTATGTATCCTTTTAGTCTATTCGATAGAAGAAGTCATCTGCACGAATTGTTGGGCACCAAACAAAGTACTCTCCCCGCCTAAGAGCGTTGGTAGACAATAATTGTTATCCTCATACATGATCATGTCTAATATGGACGGCGGCATGAGCAGCAAGGGCAGACAATCATAACTGTTAGTCAAAAAGCCATGTGGATCTCACCACCTAACTGCCCACTTTGCACAAGTACAATATAATCTTGGGTGTAAGGTTCACTACGGATTACCCGAATAGGCAGCGAGCGTCTATCGTTCAAAAGTACGTTAGGGAAAAGGATCTCAAAACCACACCAAAAGCCCACAATTCTTGAACTCCCCCAACCCCAAGAACGAGCATGCAGGAACTCTCTAGTTCCTGTGGGCAGCAATTTATTCCCCGACTGATGTACTCCGTTATTCGCCACCGGCTCCTGCAAGGACAACTTCCTAGTATACAGATCTAGTAGACGCTCGCGGTGCATAGTACATACGTATGTTGTATGGACTACTCCTGGAACTCAAATTCGCCGCATCTGAGAGGTCACACTCGAGGGACTTTCCCGAGGCTGCATGGTGCATGCATGCACACACATACAGCATTGATACTCCCCCGTGGAGTTCGCGATCGAGGCAACATAGATACTTTGTGGAGTCACCTTTTCTCTCTCGTTCTACTCCGTAGTGATCGTCTGGATCTAGTTCCTACAGCATGCATTGCCGTACCGATTCGCACTATGGTGCGCTCGGGGCCTCCACCATTTCCCATTACCTGGATCGCTGGTTGCCTCCAATGCAAGGCGGATGTATACCCTGGTCGGCCAGACCTAAAGATGTGCATCTTTATTCAGGTACCCTTGTTTTGAATTTTTCTTTTTTTTTTCCGCTTCGGACGGCATGCATCATATTCGTACGAGATTTGAGTATGAGATGACAAAGTACGAAAGCGGAGCTCCGTTTGGAATAACTCCTTGCCACCTTGATATTACGCTGGAGTACTCCATAATCTCGAATGCCAGCTCATGTCTTGCACTCCTCTCCACTTTTTGTTCTTACGTGCTGAGTCCCTGTAGGCAAGAGGATAACATTACCTACATACTGCGAGGGCGTTTCCTCGTATTCTGATCCATTTTCTCCTTTTCTGAAGGAAAAAAGAGGGTCAATTTCCACTCTCGGCGCTGCCAACCCCCACGAAGAGTTTAACTTAGCAGTTCCCTGTTCACGTCAATGGCAATGTAGATCGGGGGCACTAAGAAAGCTACCCAAAGTACAAAGTACGTACAATATACCACGTTATAGACGTCGAGATTTCTGGCCAATCAAATCATAATCGGTGTTGTTCAGCTCGCAATCATGGCAGATCCCATCAAAGTATGTTTTGCAAGTATATTTTGCTTTTTGTAGATCCAGGATCTTGACACTGAGAGATCAGAATATCTGCTAGCACGTCTCAAACGATTCAAACGAGGGATCCGAAACTCAGAGCAACAAAAAGAACAGAATTATATAAACCAAAAGGTTAAAACAAACCATAAACGGATCATTGCAGCGTAGTGGCCTGCCGTCCCCAGTTTCCATCCGTCTTTATCTTCTAGTTTCTACATAATAATGGCTTTTTTCTGTCTTGTGCGTTTCAGCCGTGCAGGCACGGTCTGGAGCCTATGTAGGTCGACACATGCGGCAATTTTGATATGCAAGCACACATCGAACACCCCTCCATGGTCGTCATCCAATCCACCACTACTCTACACGATATAGCGCTCCTTGGTCTAAATCGCGCGGTTGACACTTCCCCGTTTCACGATTGGGAGTTCGTTACTCACGATAAGATTCCGGCGACCGTAAGACTAATGCACAATGTTCTTCAGATCGTAAAGATCGCCGATTCCCCTCTTCCCAGCCACCGGGATGGCACTCTGCGTACTTAGTTGCAACTAACTGGATACTACTCTAACAATTATCTTATGAGCACACTATCGTAAAACAATAGCTCAATATGTGCATAAAGTATGGAATAAATAGTATCCATATAACAATAGCCAACATAGTCCTTATCTCCATGATTGGTCATCCCAGTCTATCAAAACGCTCAACATCCCAGCCTTCCTTCAACCCCATATCCATGCGGAGAAAGCAGCCCACCAATCACACTACGTTTTGTTGATGTCTGTTATCCATTTCGAGTTAGCTGCGATCCTAATCT